CCACAAAGCAGGGGCAGGAAAAGAAAAAAAGTTTGGTGTGTGGTGTGGTGACACATGCCTTAATGCTTAGCGCTTGGGAAGCAGAAACAGATGGGTCTTTGTGAGTTTGAGGCCAGCCTGGTCTGCATATCAAGTTCCAGGACAGAGCCATAGCTACATAGAGGTACATTCAGCAACAGCAACAACATCAACAACAACAACAACAAAAAAAAGCAAGAGGATTTTAAGTTCTAGGACAACCTGGGCTACGTCATAAGACCCTTTTTCTTTTCTTCATCTTCTATTTTTTTTTTTTTTTTTTTGAGACAGGGTTTCTCTGTGTAACAGCCCTGGCTGGCTGTCCTGGAGTTCATTTCGTAGACCAGGCTGGCCTCAAATGAAGGCATGGGCCAGACTGGGCGGTGGTGGCACATGCCTTTAATCTCAGCACTTTGAAGGCAGAGGCAAGCAGAGTTATATGTTTGAGGCCAGCCTGGTCTACAGAGTGAGATCCAGGACAGGCTCCAAAGCTAAACAGAGAAACCCTGTTAAATAAATAAAGGCCTACGCCACCCCCACACCCAACCTCTGTCATTCTGAGTGTAGTTTCCTGGTTAGTACCTTGGTGTTCACAGTACAGCTCCCCATGGGCTCTAAACTCACTTCCTGTGTTTCAGTTCCTGCACTCACCACCTTCCCAACCCTCAATGCACCTCTCTCTTTTCTTTTTTAGCTTGTCTGTGACCAGCATGCCCCTCATTGTATCCTCAGTTTACCAGTGGTGAGGGGGACACAGCTTTCCGCTGCTCCCCTCGGCAGCTCAGGCCGTTCCTTTAGACTTTCAGGGATCTCAGCCCAGGCCAGTTTCGGGTTTGTGACTTCTATGCTGGAAAGAATTTCAGGACAGTTGGCATAGCCAAGTTAGAGATTTTAATACCACTCCTTTTGTAGACCAGGCTGCCCTCGAACTCACTGACATCCGCTTGCCTGACTCCCGAGTGCTGGGATTAAAGGTGTGCGCCACCACCGCCAGTCATACTCAGAAATGTTAAAAAAAAAAAGTTGGTATTGACCAACAATGCTAAAAATTATAATTTTGACTTGTTGTTTGCAACTGCTGAAAAAACTTTGACACACCCTGTCAATGTTGGGAGTTAATGCATATGTTAAAAATTTTAGATTCTGACACAACGTAAAAGATTTAAGAGCTACACTAAACTAGCTAAAAAAACATTCTCAACTCAGGTAATTCTCTTCTCCTTTAAATAGGAGACTATAGCCTTTGGGAGCATGATTTTTCATAAAGCATTATAATTAATCCTACATTATAATTAATCCTAACAAAAAGTATGGCTCCAAGACACAGGGCCCAAAAGTATCTCTCTCCATTAATCTCTTTTCTTCACAGAGATCAGCAGTCAATGACAGGTTTAAGGCCTCTTCTTCCCAGATACCTAAGCCAGGAGCTTGCATATATAAATGCTGTTCCAAAGACAAGAAAATTTGGGTAAATAAAGAGGTCTTTGCCCAAGCCAGGCATGATCTGTCTGTCCTGTTGCAGAAGCACAGGTTTTATTAAAATTAATAAGAGAGTGGATTGTAGGCCCATATTTCTATATGGCATGGCAGCCAATTCATCAAGCCATAGGCCACACCTGAGATGGGTCATGTATCCTGCCAGGCAGGCTGTTGCTAACCTAACAAAAGATCAGGACATTTTGCTCCTTCCTTTGTAATAGCATACAGAGCAGACAGGTAGTTGTGGACATGACAAAAGGCCATTCACCTGGTTACCTAGGAGACAGAATGCTAATGTGTTTCACCCTCAGTTAAGTTATGGTATTATGACTGTTTAGAGAATAAACGAAGGAATTTTTCAGGATGTGAACTCAGGATATCATAAAGGACCTCTGAGAATCCCCCTCCCCATGAAACCATGTGAGTTGTGTCTTCACTCCCGTCTCCTCCACGCCGGTCCAGAGAGAGAGAGAGATTTTATGTTGTGGTCTGGAAGAGAAATAATATATGGTCCAGACTAGCACCGGACTCCAACAGCTAATAAGAAATCTGGTTTTGGCCAGGCAGTGGTGGCAAAGGCCTTTAACTGCAGCATTTGGGAGGCAGAGGCAGGTGATTTCTGAATTCGAGGTCAACCTCGTCTACAGAATGAGTTTCAGGACAGTCAGGGCAACATAGAGAAGTACTGTCTTGAAAAACCAAGTGAATAAAAACCTTTTCCTCAGGGGCTGGAATGATGGCTCAGTGGTTAAGAGCACTGGCTACTCTTTCAAAGGACCCAAGGCTCAATTCCCAGCCCCACATGGCAGCTCACAACTGTAACTCCAGTTCCAGGGGATCTGGCACCCTCACACAGACATATATACAGGCAAAACCTCAATAAAGAAACCTTTACAAAAAAAAAAAAAAAAAGAATCCTTTTTCTCCTCTCCTGCTAAGCGATGCTGAAGGTGACACTGGAGACACCTTGGATGGAATTAGAGTCTCACAAAAAAAGACCAGAAGCCATTAGGGTCGTGCAAGGAATTCAGTTCACATCCATTTCATATAAATGTAGTTTCTGGTGAGATTCCTAGAAACTGTTTATGACAGGTTGAAAAAAAGCCTAAGCCGTTGTTAATCGTGCTGGAGTAGTTCGTGTGCAGATGAGAGAACCCTTAAGGGCTCCTCCTCCTAAGGAATCAGCATTTTCCCTGCTTTCCTATACTGCCTCAAGCTGACAGTCACACAGTTGAGACAACTGTGATGTTTCCAACCCTCTGGAAGCCTGTCAGGTAAGATGGTAACATCCACAAGGCACAGACAAGTCAGCCATACCCCAAGCCCCGCTGACTGCTCCAAGAAAGGATGATTGGCTGGCTGGAGTCATGCATGTGTGCAAATTATAGCTCTCTGAAGGCTGAGGCAGGAGGAATCTGAGTTTGAGGCCAGTCTGGTCTGTACAGTATGACTCTGTAATAATAAAAGGCAGGTGTGATGCATAATCTGAAAAGCTAAAGAAGGAGCATCACCGTCAGTGTGAGGTTAGCCTGAGCTACAGACCAGACCCTGTCTCAAAGAACAACAACAACAACGAAAGGTGAAAAGGAGAAAGACTATTTGGAACCTAGCTTTCCCCTCCCTCCTCCCCAGTGGCACTCCTACACCATGGCTCTCCTTCCTGCTTGAAGTACAGCGGTACTGATGTGGGAGAGAAGGCAGAGTCCTGAAGAATACTTGTAACACATTCAGGCCACTGACAAGGTCACAGCTATGTTTGCCCCTTCAGCTGTACACTGCCTCGTATCTGCTCACAAGCTTTGTTACCACCTCCCTCTCCATCGCAGACACCAGCATCACATGGAAGTGTGTGGACAAACACTTGCTCTCCTGTCTGGCCTCAGCTTAACTTTCTGGCCATTGCCTTAAGTGAGTCCTGTGTCCCGGGGTGGTGGACTGGTTCCTCTACTTGTCGCAGTCTTCCCAGAGACAAGCTCCATTCCCCGCTGCTCTTGAGTCCACAGAGACATGGAAGTGAGGCGGGGACTTCTGAAGGTGTCCTTGGGTCCAGGTCCCTTGCTCAGTTTCCTGAATGCTGTGATCCAAGCATTACACCATAAAAGTACAGCTGATAGATCAATAGACTAACTCGTGGGAGTAGAGAGGAACCTGATCCACAGACCTTCGGTGTTGTTATTCATAAAGCAGTGTGACCCCTGGTGGGAGGCCTCGGCAGGTCGCCTTGCGGGTGGGAGACCCCGTGGTTGAGAGACAGATACGCCATGCAGAGAGAGCTTGGGTATAGAGTTTATTTAGTGGGTTAAGGAAGGAGAGAGAGAGAGAGGCGGAAGCTGCCTCTCCAGAAGAAGGACGAAAAGAGAGAGAGAGAGAGAGAGAGAGAGAGAGAGAGAGAGAGAGAGAGAGAGAAGAGAGAGAGAGAAAACACGTGTGGCTCCAGCGCCCGCCGGCGCCCCGCTTGCCTGGGGGGGGGGTGTTATTGGGAGTGGGCGGGGTTTGTCTCTTAAAGGGACAGGGTACCCAGGAGACAGGTCAGGCCAGCAGATTACAACATTCGGGAGTACCTTTCGTTTGAATAGTCGCTGTCATTTCTGTGAAATGACATAGTATTCCTCCTTTCCATAGTGGAATTCGTCCCAAATAACCCCAGCAGTGTATTAATTATTGGGATAACTTCTTTCTGAATGATCTCAGTCAAAGAGACCTGTGTTCTCACAGTCAAATCTACATAAAGTAGCCCCCACAATTATCCTTTATGGCAGGACGTCAGACAATGAAAGGAGCCTTGCTAATAGACCACATAAGAACCTCAAAAGACAGGCACTGGGCAGGAAATACTGCCCTTACTGATAAACAGGTCTGGGTAGCCACAAAATCTCCAACAGCCAGCTCGGAAGAGTATAACCTACTGGCCTTTGCCCTACCCTAACAAGCTATTAATATTCCATACTTACTTTCACCTTGGTTTCACTGACACAAGATCTTAGTCTAGAAAATTAACTGTGCTTTTACCCCTAGAAATACAGGAAAAAAGCTGAGATTGCTAAACCTGCCCCAGAGAAAGGAATGCCTTCTCACCTGGGCACCATCATCCCTACAGCACCCTGTTGTTTAGCGGGGGGGGGGGGGGGGACCACCACCACCACGACGACGACGACGACGACGCGCCATCCACTTTCCTCTTGAAGCTTAGGCTAGTTGCTATGGCTACCAGAAGCGCTGCGTTCCCAGCGGCTGCTGGAACGGAAGTGCTTAGAGAGTGCGCAACACTGTAGCGTTTGTCTGCCCTTCTTCTCTTCATTAACCAATCACAAACTCTAGCTTAACCAACCACACAAATGCAGTTAACACACAACCCCCCTTTTCCTCTTCTTAGGAGCCTGTACCATTTAAAGCCCATACTTAATTAATCCTTCCGGTATCTGCCGGGGAGTTTCACAGTCACGCCCCCTACAACCTCACCTCTTGTTAGCCCTAAGAAACGCATTCTGGGTATCATTGGTATTTACCAAAAAGTTGTTAATTATGCCTGTGCGGATATATAAACAAGAAACCTTGTGGGATTGGGAGGAACATGGGTAGAGATTGTTGGGGGGCATTGAAAGAGCCCTGGAGAGAGCCCTGGGAGAACACAGGAGTAACAAATGGGACCCGATGACCAGACGTATGTGAGTTAATTTGTTTACCCTTAGGCCCCTTTTAGTCAGTTTTCACTTGCTATGGCTTTCCTTCTGAATTCTGAGAGGTTTAGGGTGGCAGGCACCCCAACTTAAACCTCAATACCTGAAGTGTTCACATGCAGTGAACTTGAATGGTGTTCCTCCCCTCCCCCCGCAAAAAAATATGTCCACGTCCCATCCTGATTCCAAAAACCTGTGAATGTAGCCAAAGAAGGTGTAGTAGTTTGAATGTAATTGACCTCCATAATCTCATAGGAAGTGGCACTATTAGGAAGTGTGGCTTTGTTGGAGTGAGTCTGGCCTTGTTGTTTGATGTGTGCCATTGTGGGGGTGGGCTTTGAGATTTCCTAGGCTGAGGACACTGCCCAACGAGCAAGTCCTGTTCCCTGAAAGCCAAGAGGTAGCCAGCACCATGTATGCTTGCACGGCATGCTCCCCATCATGATTACAGACAGATCTTATTGATAACTGTGATGTTAAGTTGGGAGCATCACCCCAGCCCCTGACATCCATTCCAGCCTCTTAGCCTGGGAGTTGCGTTGGTCTGGATTCCAAATCCCAGCATGCCACTCCCACAGGGTATTTAAGTGGGAGCCTGAGTTTTTCATGTGCTCCCCGGTCTTCTGTCTCCCCTGCCATGTTCTCTGCCATCCGAGAGTGCTGTGTTTATTAAAACAAGGGCATTTAATTTGGTTTGATTTGACCTGATTGGATTTTTTTTTTTTTTTTGACGTCGGCGGAGCGGCTTGTCTTAGGATTTTTTCCTAATAATAACGGCCGGAACTTCTGAACTGTAAACGAGCCACCTCAATTAAATGTTTCCTTTATGAGAGTTGCTGTGGTCATGGCGTCTCTTCACAGCAATAGAAACCCGAACTAAGACGGAAGAAATTAAGTGAAGGGTCATCCTGGTAGCCAGGCGTGCCACCAACCTTATAAAAGTGTAGGGAAGGGTGGGAGAGGGAGGAGGCCATGCGAAGGCAGGACAGAGACTGCATAGATTCGGCTACAAGGGATAACCGAGAACCGAGAACTGAGAACCGAGCCACTGGCAGCTAAAAAGGCGGGAAGGAACCTCCCCCAGGGCCTTTTCACGCTTCATCTCATCTTCGGGGCTCTAGAACTGCCTGCCCATTGTTGGAGCCCTTTGATAAACGGTTCTTTGTTATAGCGGCACAGAACACAGGACCTCCCTGCAACTGTCGTGCCCAGTTCCTTTGGCGTCAGATGTCTTCTTCACAGCCACCACCGTCATCTACGTCTATTTCCGCTGGGCCCACTTCCTCATTTCTCTGCCCCTCAGGGGCCCTCCTTTTCTCTCACTTTACCTGCCTCTCTGGGACCTACCACAAAACTTTTACTTGTCAAGGAAGTCACCACAGGCTGTGGCCACCACACCAAGGAGAAATGTCACCTTCTTGAGAACTGTAGACTGGGGCTGGTGCTTTGTCCCAGTTTCTCCTCCTTCCCTTCTCGCTAAAGACTCCTACACACTTGAGGTCTGGGCCTCAATGCTCCCTGCTTCCTTCCAGGGACTTATGTGGCCCTGCCATGGCAGTCACAGCTTCTCCCACACTCGTAAGGCCAACTGTCCCCACACCTCTCCTGAAGGCTGGCTCATTTAACTGCTTGCTGATACGGCCTCAACAGATCCAATTCAGACATCCTTACTCACACTCACAATGCTTAACGAGCTGAGGCAGGAGGATCACCTTGAACTGGGGTCAGTGTGGGTTACAAGGCGACTTCCAGTCGAGCCTGAACTCTGAGACTCTGTCTCAAAAGAGAAACAAACCTCAAAACACCCCTCCCCCACCCCACCACCCGCAGCAGCACGCTAGGTGGCACCCCTAGCGTCAGCTGCACTTGTTGCAGGAATAATAAAAACCCAAAGACAGATACTGGGGTCCAGCCTGAAGATGGGAGAAGCCAAGCAGCCAGCCACTGGCTCTTACTTACCTCTACCTCAGGCGGCAAAGGCGATCCTGCCTCCACTAACCCTCACAGTGAGAGTGCGCTGAGATCTGTCTCCTCCCATTTTATATTCTTTAGGGCTGGGATTGAAGGCGTGTGCCACCACCACCCGGCCCTGATTCATCTTCTCAATCGCAGCTCGATTTCACTCTGCATGGCTCATCTGTCTAAACAAGCAGGTCAAGCTGAATGTGGTGTTTTTCACCACAAACCCTAGCCATTGTCTAGCTTCAAGCCAGCTTCTGTTTTCACTCTCTGTGTGCCTGTTGCATGTACTGCGTGTGCAATCATACGATATATAACCATCTGTATCTGGAGTCTCTCATGGAGCAAAACCTTCAATGCTTGTCTGTGTGACGGCATATGCCAGATCTTCATACTTTAATTGTCTGTACAGTGTTCTGTCTGCATACATCACTGACCGCCAGAAGAGGGCACCAGATCTCATCATCACAGATGGTTGTGAGCCACCATGTGGTTGCTGGAAACTGAACTCAGGACCTCTGGAAGAGGTCTTAACCTCTGAGCCATCTCTCCAGTGCCCCCCACCCCCATCTTTTTTTTTTTCCAAGACAGGGTTTCTCTGTGTATCCTTGGCTATTCTGGAACTCCCTCTGTAGACCAGGCTGGCCTTGAACTCACAATCTATATCTGCTTCCTGTGTGCTGGAATTAAACATGCATGCTACTATTGGACCCTAGCGTCCAATCACTGAGGAGGAGGAGTCGCCCCAAGAGACCATCTCTCACATCACAGCTGATGTAAAAGCATGAGGATTTTATTATTTCTGTCATGACAGGGTCCTCCAGCAGTAGGGAGGCTAGAAGACCCTGAATGGCTGGTACAGGCTATTTTTAAAGGGGAAAAAACACAGAAGGAAGGGGTGTCTGGGGGTTGTTCTTTAACTCTTATGATTGGCTTATTCAAAAGGGCTATTACCAATAATTGGCTGGAGAGTGGTTGCCAGATCAGATGAGGTAAAGGGACACTTCTGAGGGTCACTTTGCCCCTTCCCAGGGACTAAGTCAAAACATCAGTAACTGAGTCAACACCTAAGGGTTATCTTGCCCCTATTCAGGGAGATGGAAAGTTCCCAACATCTCAGTACATGCATGCATAGCTGTTATGTCCTTGGTTCCCAGAAGAGGAGGGAAAGTACTGAGAGTTGTCAGAAATGGTTTCAGAATTGTCTTAAAGTTCTACACTACCACACCTGGCTTCACTCCTTCAAATTAGTTTATGTATATGAGTGTTCTACTGACTTTATGACAGAAGAGGGCATCAGATCCCACTATAGGTGATTGGGAGCCACCATGCGGTTGCTGGGAATGGAACTCAGGCCCTCTAGAAGAACAGTCAGTGTTCTTAACCATTGGGGCCATCTCTCCAGCCCCAGTTGGCCTCTTTCATTGCTGGTGGGGCTGCAAAGGGATTGTCTTGTCTCTGTGTTTGACTCAAACTACACACCCATACCAAGGGAGCCTTGCTCAGAACCCCATCCTCACAGTAAGGTGAAGCTTGGGATTTCCAGGGTCCCCATGGTGACCCACTGTTGTCCCTACTCATCTGTCACAGGGATGACTGACTGACTTCACTCGCTGCCCTACAACACCTCGAGCTCTCCCATCACTCCATACTCCTCTCTCAGCTCATCTATACACATTGTCTTAAATCTGCACAGTGAGGAGCCGGCGCTGTCGGAGAAAAAGCTTAATGTTTTAGGTTTTGGAAATCAGAGGGTCATGCGGGAGACCGATGCAGAAGTCAAGGGAAACCGAGGCCCGGGCCTTTACTGGGGTTACAGGGAATGTGAGGTGGAGCACGGCAGAAGCTGCGGTTGGTTTCTCGGTTGGTTTGGGGTGGGGGAGTGGTTTTTGTTTTGTTTTGTTTTGTTTTCTCAGACAGAGTTTCTCTGTAGCTTTGGAGCCTGTCCTGGAACTAGCTCTTGTAGACCAGGCTGGCCTCGAACTCACATCCGCCTGCCTCTGCCTCCTGAGTGCTGGGATTAAAGACATGTGCCATCACTGCCCGGCTAGGGTGAGTGTTTTTTGGTGTCTGTTGGAGAGGAAATGGTTGCGGAGGGGTCTAGGCTAGACCGTTTTCATGTAATGGCCATGTTCTTGGAGGTGAACTTAACTATCTGCTAGAGCTAGCAGTCCTGGGTAGTGTTTCCCTAGACAGTGACAGTAGGCATAGTAGAGCTTCCAACTCTCTCTCTCTCTCTCTCTCTCTCTCTCTCTCTCTCTCTCTCTCACACACACACACACACACACAGACACACCAAAAAAAAAAAAAAAGAGGAAGAAAATAGAGTTCAGTGCCAGGTGGTGATGGTGGTGCATGTCTAATTTCAGCATTCAGGAGGGCAGAGGGAGGTGGATCTCTGAGTTTGAGGCCAGCCTGATCTACAGAACAAGTTCCAGGACAGCCAGGGCTACACAGAGAAATCCTGTCTTGAAAAACCTGAATGAATGAATGAATTTAAGAAATAAAATATATATGTATATAAAGATTCAAGATGGCTGCACCCATTGGCATCCTCAGAACTGTGGAGCTGCTCTGAGGCGCCTGAGAGACAGTAGGGAAGCCTCCGGGAGAGGAGTCCACAGAGGAGCACCCAATATCTCCTGAACAACTTTTAAAAAATGCAGGTCGTATGGGAAGATGCTTTTAAGACGTGGTCTAAGTGGTCTCATAAAAGTGAGGAAATAGGATGGTGGAGCACAAGGTGGAGAGAAGCTGTGGCGGTCGCGGGTGTCGAAGTACAGCCTCAGGGGAGGAGGGGAAGAGAGCTAAGCGATTGTAGTTCTGCCTGCAGGCTTCAAGCAGGATGGTCCTGCTAGGTGGGCCTGAGGGACAGCTGGCACCGAGGGCAGGGTAGTGTGCAGTGGCCTGGACCTCATGCAGATCCTTCCCCGGGTCCTGCGGCCCAGCGGCAAGATCACCCTGACTCTGGGCAGCAGCAGGATATCCCAGATGAATCTCAGCGATAGTCCAGGAAACCGGAAACCTTGAACCAGACCAATAACTCATTGCAGTAAGTTTTTGCATGTAAAGTTGTTTGGACAAAAAAACACACTGTGACACGCAGCAATTTTCAGTACCACTTTGGTGGATGAATGTGTGATGGGAGAGGTGGGAAGGATGGCGAAACGGAGCTGCGCATGCGAGGTGCAGAGAGACGGACCGGCAGATGCTGCCTTAACAGGTATTGGAGCGAGGCTGCCGTGGACAAAGGAGTGTCATTGCTGAGTGGGGCCGGCAGGGTAGTGGGTGAGCCTGGAGCTCACAAAGGCTCTGTCCAGCTACACATCCCTTGGGCTCCGAGCAATAAGATATCCTAGGTGAAGAATGGTTCATTTTCTGGATTAAGCCTGCTTGAAGTGGAGGCCTAGTTAGTGTCCATGGTCCTTGTTGCAGCCAGGGGCCAGTGCTGGTCTCTGCGTTCCGTATTGCTGCCAGACTACCATGGAAGTGTTCCTTGTTATGTTGCTGCTGGAATCCATGATCCACGCTGCCATGGGGACCACGTTGAGGTCTGTGTTCTGTGCTGCTAATGGAGCACGTGTAGAAGTCCGTGATCCCTGCTCACTGGCTGTTATGGGCAAGGAAGTTTCTTTTACAGTGGTATTGGTGACTGCAGACTCATAATTGAGAATGAGAGACTCTGAAGTCTTCTGTGATCGTCACCGCCGGCCCGGGCCCGCGCGCGGGCCCGCCTCTCTCTCTCTCTCTCACACACACACACACACACAAAGAAACAGTCCGGACAGGAAGCTATTAAAGTGAGTCCTTAAAACTTGTACTACAGGGGCTGGCTGGGTGGCTGGCCCCTGTCGCCCTCCTTCCTTTGTTTTCTTGTTGCCCCTCCTCTTCCGCATTTCTCCTTCTAGTTATACTCTTCGCCTGCCAGCCCCGCCTATCCTTGCTCCTGTCTCGCTATTGGCCAGTTCAGCTCTTTATTAGACCATCAGGGGTTTTAGACAGGCAAAGAACCACAGCTTCACAGAGTTAAGCAAATGCAGCATAAACAAAAGTAACACATCTGTACGTCATTAAAAAAAAATTTCCACCTGGCGGTGATGGCGCACACCTTTAATCCCAGCACTCGGGAGGCAGATGCAGGTAGAGCTCTGTGAGTTCGAGGCCAGCCTGGTCTACAAGAACTAGTTCCAACACAGATCTAAAACTATGGCGAAACCTGTCTCAAAATACCAAAAAAAAAAAAAATTCCACAGCATAAACAAAAGTAACACAACTTAAAATAATATGCCCCAACAGTGTGACCTCTGACAATCATTATAGATATCATCTTCAGACCTTTCTAGAAGACCCAAGAGTTGGAGTCATGCATTATGAGTCCTTTTCGGATTGCCTTTTTCATTTATCAATACACATCTAAGACTCTTCTATCTCAGTTTGAGGTTCAATAGCTTATTTATTTTATTTTACCACTGTTGAGCATTCTACTGTACAGCTTATCCATTCACCTACTGAATGGATAAAGATGAATGAAGGTCATCTTTCCCTGAAAGTTTTTGCAAGTATGAACAAAGCTGCCACAAGCATTATAGCCAGGTTTTTGTGTGGTTGTGTCTTCTGCTTAGTTGGATGTATTCTTAGGGTTGCATTGTAAGAGAATCTTAGTTTTTGTTGGGGGCACAAAGGTTCTTGTGCCCATAGGTCACTAGAGAAACCAGGAATGTTAATCACGCAGTGATATCTCCTCAAAGAAGAAATTGCCTGTTTTCTTTGGGGAGTAGATAATGGGTTTATTTGTTTGTTTCGAGACAGGGTTGCTCTGTGTAACAGTTCTGGCTGTCCTGGAATTTCCTTTGTAGAGCAGGCCAACCTTGAACTCACAGAGTTCTACCTACCTCTGCCTCCTGAGTGCTGGGATTAAAGGCGTGTGCCACCACTGTCCGACCAGGGGTGGGTATTGTTAAGGAACTTGTGACCTTTTTGCTATCTGTGGAAGCAGACCTCACCTGCCTTTTGTTATAGAGGCAGACCTCACCCAAATCCCCCAGAATGTATACCCCAGACTCTCCCTCTCTAGACCTTTATCCTTAGCTCTCAGTTACTAGAACCCGTCCTTAGGGACGATGCCACAGAGCCTGCTGACCCCTATGCTACCGCAGTCAGAGACCACACCAGATCCTAGGCCCTTGAGCTGGAGAGCCATCTTCATGGTCACATGTATGTAGCAAAGGAGTTTCTATGTAGTCACACACTAAATTTTATTGATTGCACACCTGGAATTGGTATTACCTGGAAACTTACACCAAATTCTACTGGGTTTAAATGTGCTTGCAATAAACTGGCATCAGACTCTCTATGAAAGCTTGGTCCAGTCTGGCAGACTAAATCGTGCTGAATTGAGTCTCCATTTTCTTCTCTTTGCAGATCATTCCCCTGTCTGCCATGACTCCCACAGGGAACATCCCCTCTCCCCAAGTTTGGTAAGAAACTGTCTTTCTGTTTTCCAAAGTCCATGCGCCATCTCATGTTCCCAGAAGCACCAGATGAGTGTTCCTGCTGCTCCACACCCTTGTCCTCACCGGATGATGTCAGTATTTGGGATTTAGCCATGCTGGTCAGTGTGTAGTAAGATGTCATTGCTGTCAAATAGCACACCTTTTGAAAAGGATACACAATCAGTCTTCCTGGGGTTGAAATTTATCACACTATGACTTATATTAGACCTTCTGGCACTATGACCAAATAGCAGCGACAACAGATCCAAGGGAGGATTGTTCTGGCTCATGGGCCCAGGTGTTTCAGTTAATCTTACTTAGCTGGGTCCATTGCCATGAGCCTGTGGTGAGGAAAAGAGTATGGCATCCACGAAACAGAATGGGATAAGACTGGGGACCAGGAACAACTCTTAAGGTCACACTTCCAGTTCTCCACCTTCAATAGCCTATTCACACTGTGAGTCTGTCTGTGGGTCAGTCCATTCACAAGGACAGAGTCCTATGAGCCAGTTCCCCAAGTCCCATCTCTGAACGCCACTTGTACCAGTGACCAAGCTTTCAATGCATGAACCTTTTGGGCATAAAGTCCATATGAAAACCATGACACTAGTATAATCAATAAAGTGTAGTATTGATGGAGAGAGGACAGAGGTCAATGAGCAGAATAGTAAACCTAGAAATAGATGCTAATAATGCCCAGCAGATTTGTTTTCTATGGATGGGAGTTTGTAGCTCAGGTTGTGCAGAGGGATGCATGGACGCTAAAAAGAAATCCCACACTAGCTCAGCAATGAGAAATAGATATTTATTTAGAGGTAAACTCACAAATCAGAATTGTCTGCTTGGACGGTTGAATCCCACAATCCAACAATCCAAACAGCATCCGGCGAAAAGGAGGAAGAAGAAAAAGGGAAGGACGCAGTTTCTGCATCCGCATGTATGAGAGGCCACGCCCCAGAAGGCAGGTAATCACAAGCTGCAAGTCTTCCTACAGCAAGGTTGGCCCATAATTCGCTGTGTAGACCTGGCTAGTTTTGAACTTGTGACAAACCTTGCACTGTAAGATTTTAGACAATTGTGAAGCCATTTCTGACAATTCCAAACCCTCTCAGCCTCTGTGCCTCAGTGCTTCCCCTCCTCCCCTGGGAACCAAGGACCTAACAGCTACACATGCACGTACTCAGTTCCTGAACAATTACCCATACACGTATGTTTTGATTCAGTCCCCTGGGAAACGGGGTCAAAATGACCTCTTACCTCATCTGATCTGACAATAGTTCTTCCGTCAATTATTGGTATTAGCCCTTCTCGAATAAGCCAATCATAATGGTCAAGGAACAACCCCTCTTGTTTCTATGGGGTATTCTCCTTTAAAAGTAGACTGTACCAACTAGTCGGGGTCTCTCGGCTTCCCGAATGCTGGGGGACCCTGTCATGACAGAATTAATAAAATCCTCATGCTTTTGCATCAGCTGTGGTGTATGAGGTGGTCTCTGGGGGCGACTCCTTCTCGGTTTGGACACTAGAGTCCAACAGCACTTCTACTTCCTGAGCAGTGGAATTACAGGTGTGGGCTCCCACTCCTGGTTCCTCAGCTGATTCTTTACAAACCTACACCATGAATTCAAGGGCTTGGGAATTTAGGTCAGTGGGTACTTACTTAGCAAGTATAAGGCTTTGGATTTGGTTTTTAGTTCCAGGAACAGAACAAAACAAGAAACAAATTCAAGGCAGAAACCTTGGTCTTTTTGAGAAATGGTGCTGGAACTGATAGACACAAGTGACCAAAAATAGAACTCTTATACAATTATTTGAGATGAATTTAGATTTAAAACAAAACAAAACAAAATAATAATAATAATAAAAAAAAACCAACCACAAATGTGGGTGGGAACTTGTTACAGAAGAAGGGGGCCCCTTGTTTGTTCCTGCCGCCCGGCTAGCTTACACCCGAAATAACCACACAGAAACTGTATTAATTAAAACACTGCTTGGCCATTAGCTCTAACTTCTTATTGGCTAACTCTTACATATTAGTTTAACCCATCTCCATTAATCTGTGTATTGCCACGTGACTGTGGCTTACTGGCAAGATTCTAACCAGCGTTGTCTCAGGCAGAAGATCCATGGCATCTCTCACTCTGCCCTACTTCCCAGCATTCAGTTCTGTCTTCTCCGCCTACCTAAGTTCTGCCCTATCAGGCCCAAAGCAGTTTCTTTATTCGTTAACCAATGAAAGCAACACATGAACAGAAGAAACTCCTACACCAGGAACTGGGCCAGTTACACAGCTCAGCAGGTGAAGGGTTTGCTGCTCAACAGTGGGAGCTTGACAGTTTGAGCCTTGACCCTTGGGATTGATTCCACACAGCTGCCCTTTGACTCCACATGTGTGCCGTAACATGTGTGCTCATACATGCACACGCGCGCGCGCGCACACACACACACACACACACACATACACACACACACTCTCTCTCTCTCTCTAATAATGAAAATCTTAGAAGTGGAGAGGTGCCTACTTGGTGGGAACTGGACACCAGCAGGAGGTAAGGGAGGGCATAGAGTGGGTGATGGGAGGCCATCGCGTGCACATGTGGAAGGGGCAAAGGGAATGCATTATGGCCACAGACCCAGCAGTGCAGGCCTGCTGTGATAGCTAATTCTGAGTGTCAACATGATCTAGAATCACTTCCTAGCAGACAACCTTGGGGGACGTCTGTAGGGGAGTTTCTAGATTGACTTCGTTCAGGTAGGAGGACCACCGTACAGGTGGACTGTGGGAGATGGTTCCGTGTGAAAGTGCTTACCAGGAGATCAGATCCTCAGAAACAGGTGCTATGTCCAAAACACCCCCACCCCAAAATGGCAGTGCTGGTGACAATGTCCTAAACAATGTCCTGCTTTGGTCAGGTAAACAGAGAAATCATGTGTAAACATAAGTCTGAAGGCAGGTTCTATTTGACCAGGACCCTCTCAATCCAGTCCAAAGGGCAACTACCAGGGCAAGGGCATCTAGTTCCTTCACAGCCTGTACCCACCCCGACTGCCACCTAAGATCCTCTTGGTTTTCTGTCATCTTTCTTCTCTCTGCATCCCCCTGACCCTGCCAGGAGGTAGACATAGCAGTTTGATATCCAATAAAATTTTCTTTCTACCCATTGAATGGTCTAGTTTGGTAGTTACTTGGAGGCCCATCTGTAATTGTGGCCTCAGAAGGCAGAGCCAAGTGACACCCAGAGAAAGGTGGCTAGGAAAACTAACCATCTTGGTGAGCTCTGGGTTTTTTGTTTGTTTGTTTTGTTTTTTTTTCCCCCTTTGGTTTTTTGAGACAGGGTTTCTCAGTAGCTATGGAGCCAGTCCTGGAACTCACTCTGTAAACCAGGCTGGCTTGAAACTCACAGGAATCTGCCTGCTTCTGCTTCCCAAGTGTTGGGATTAAAGGCGTGCACCACCACCGCCCGTGAGCTCTGGTTTTGAGAGACCCTGACTTACTGAATGAGGTGGAATTACATCAAGGTGGAAGGGCTATTAATGGTTCATTACATCAGCTTCAGGCTTCCATATGTACACACACACACACACACACACACACACACACACCCTCACACACATCCCACACACATTCAAAACACACATACACAAGGAATGAAAAAAAACTGGTTATGGTGATACATGCCTTTATTCCAAGCATTCAGGAGACAGAGGCAGGTGAATCTCTGTTGAGTTCCAAGCTGAGCTTGGAACTGGTCCATGAGCTGGTCTATGTAGAGAGTTTCAGGCCAGCCAGACTACATAAAGAGACTGTCTCAAAAACAAAGTGGCTGGTGTGCACACCAGCCTTTAATCCCAGCATTTGGAAGGCAAGAGCAGGCAGATCTCTGGGTTCAAGGCCAGCCTGGTCTACAATGTGAGTTCCAGGACAGCTAAGACACACCAAGAAACCCTGTCTTGAAAACACAGCACACATATACAAAATAAAACAAAATAAAATAACCCTCACACACACACCTGTGAGGACCTGACTTTGCAAACTCCATTTTAATCAAGGGGCTTCATCTTAAGCCATATAATGAGCAGGGGCTGATTTCAGCTCCGGAAATGTGCTGCGATAGTGGAATTTGAAGGGATACCCTGAAAATAGTCAATTACTTCTTCTGCTTTACATCAGAATTCAGTTCATTCAGTTCCGTGAAATTTCTTTTTTTGGGGATCAGTAACTTGGACATAACACATCAAAATAAGTAAGTAAATAAACAAAGATAAAACAAAACAAAAATATTTTTAATTACTTTATTTTATGTGCGTTTGCATTTTGCCTGCGTGTATGTCTGAGGGTGTCAGATCCCCAGGAACAGGAGTATAGACAGTTGTGAGCTGCCATGTGGGTGCTGAGAATTGAACCTGGGTCCTCTGGAAGAGCAGACAGTGCTCTCCACTCCTGAGCCATCTCTACAGCCCCACATAGTAAAACTTTTTTTGTTCTTGTTTTTTTGACACAGTGTTTCTCGGTGTAACAGCCCTAGCTGTCCTGGACCTAGCTCTATAGACTAGGCCGGCCTCTAACTCACTGAGACCCACCTGCCCCTGCCTTCCAAGTGCTGCCACCACCAACAGGCTAAAACTTTTATGCAAATACTTTGATCCCTCCCCTCCCAGTCCGTAAAACCTTTGTTTATACAAAGGCCCTGCCACATTCATTGATTAAAATGACTAGCTTCTCCCTCATTCCCTTGGCACTGATTCTTTAAGAACTAATCAATCTCAGAAGACTGTGAAGTTGAATCCCAGACAATGGGGAAAAGACACCATTTCTGCCTGAGTAGAATAAGAACCAAATGCACTTTCTATTTCTTGATCGAGAGTAAAGTTTTGTCTTGTTGAGACACACACACACAAAATAATATTAGTTGCTCTAGGGAATCAGGAGCCACTCAGGGACTATTTTATATTGCTATACTAACAGCCATGGCCTGCCTTACATTTTAAATGTATCTACACGTGTGTGATAGCATGTGCTTGGTCATCTGTGTATTGCTTTGTCGAGTTAGAGAAAATTTTAACACATTGTAGGATGTGGTGTCAAAAATTATACAGTATCATGGAAACTCTCCAGGAACCATTGTGATCATGGTGGTGGTAGACACAAGTTTCCAAAATTTTTCAAATTCTTATTTGCTAACAAAAGCTTGAATCTTGGGGATAAATCTCCCCAGGTGTTTTCCTCACAAAGGCTGCCTCACTTTTTAAATGTTGACTGAATGTCTGGGTGTGAATTTTGTATTTAAAGTGTGAAGTTTATATTCCAGTTGTCCATTCACAGAGATGACTTGGAAATACATGGAACTGGGAAAATTAGACTTAGGTAAACCAGGCCCCAAAGGACAAACTGCATGTTCTCTCATGACTCTTCAGTAGGGTATATCTAACACGGAGAACATATGCAAGCCAGGAAACCAGGAAGGGATTACCTAAAGGAGAGGGGATAGTAGAACACAGGTAAGGAGGGAGAACCTCATAGTTTACACAGGGGTGTTAGGGAAGGGTAAGGAAGATTAATCAGGACAAAAGTATAAAAAAGTCATTTGGAAGTAAGATATGCCCACCTGTGTAATAGTGTCTGATGCCTGTGTGCATGGGGTTGGGGGACAACTGCCCTCTGAATGGAGGGGCATGGAGGACCAATGCCTGGTAACTAAACTGGTCTAGTAGCAAGACACTTGCTTCTCTTTCTTCCCTTCCCCTCTTTCTTTTCTTTTTTCCTTCTCTCTCTCTTTTCGTCCTTCCTTCCCTCCTTTTCTTTGTGGATTTTCTTTTCCTTTTTTTTTTTCCTTTTGGTTTTTTTCAAGACAAGGTTTCTTTCTCTGTAGCTTTGGAGCCTGTCCTGGAACTAGCTCTTGCAGACCAGGCTGGCCTTGAACCCACAAAGATCCACCTGCCTCTGCCTCCCAAGTGCTGTGATTAAAGGAATGCACCACCACGGCCTGGCTCTTTGGATTTTCAAGATAGGTTTCTGTGTTAACAGTCTTGGCTGTCCTGGCATCTACTTTGTGGGCTAGGTTGGCCTTTAAGTCACAGAGATCTGCCTGCCTCTGCTTCCTGAGTGCTGGGATTTAAGGCCACCACTTCCCAGCCTAATTTGTCTTGTGTGTGTGTGTGTGTGTGTGTGTGTATGTGTGTGTGGGGGCAAGTTGCTGTCTAAATTACCTATTTCTACCCATAGTTAAAAGAGTGCCCAGCTTTAATGGGAGAAGCTTCTTACATTGAACAATGGTGAATGAACAATAAAAGCAGATGCATAGCTGCCCAAGATGCAGAAAATAAGCAATAGATGCGGGCCCCGCCCAAAGCAAGTCACTCATACCACTATATTGTAGGTGCAGGAGGGGGCAGAAAGAAGAAATAGCTTGAAGACAGGGTACATGACTACTACATGCCTTTCCTTGGACTTGACACACCATTGATAGGCTGACACACGACCAGCCCTATCAATGACAGTCAAGGAAGGGGGAGGGCCTCCAAGGATCTTATCTTTCACTACTTAACGGTTGGCTATTGAGAGACTGCGGGAGAAGGACCTGCTGTCTTTCCTGTGTACTCTCTGCTGAACCCACCAGGCTCCAACGGAGAGCTCCAAACTTATGGCCACAGAGATGGCTCTGGTTAATCATGGCGAGTCACAAAACAAGTAGATATGAACAGCACCACACGGCGAGGGGCTGAGCGTTCATTAAATCAACATGGCTGGAAGGTGGTGGTGCCTGTCATAAATCTCAGCACTTGGAAGGCAGAGGTAGGTGGATCTCTGTGAGTTTGAGGTCTACAGGGAGATTCAGGACAGCCAGGATTACACAGAGGAACCATCTTGAAAAAAAAAAAAAAAAAAACCCCGAAAAGGAAAGAAATTAACACGTTTTTGGTATTTTGAGCCCCAAATGTAGCTATTTGGCACACTGGGCCTTCCTTTTTGCATGTCTTCCACACTCATTTCTGTGCATAGCACCCGGTGGTAAGCAAGGTTCATCAAGAACTTCCTGGACGAGGCACTAGAGGAATTTCTTCAGTAACAGGCAGGACCCGGTCTGTGGCACTAGGACGAGGACTAGGGTGTGCACGCCGACAGGAGCCCAGGGAAGCTGCGGATCCCAGGCATGTCGTCTATCTTCATGCACTGCTCTGTCTCACGTCATCTTCCTCCCTTCACCAGAGGCCTGAGACAACCCCTGCCACATGCTGGTCATTGTAGCTTGTGTGCCCAAGGTGCAGGTGAGGGACCCAGGAAAGCATGGATAAGTCAAAAGGCCATCCGTACTAGGCCATCCTTTCACATCTGGAGGGTGCTACCCATTGCTGGGGATAGAAGCCACTGGGTTTCCTTTGTGGGGGCAGTTTTGAGATAGGGTCTCTCTGTTATGTAGCCCTGGTTATCCTAGAACTCCCTGAGAGTTTGAGACCTAGTTGAGACTAGTTTGGAGGATCACAGATTTTTAAATAAGGACACATCTCTGTGATTAGCCCAATTCTAACTGAAAACTACTCTATAACAAAGTTAGGACTAAGCAGCCTTGGTCATTCATCTTTGCTCACGCACTGTTTATGCTGGGGCTCACTGGTATTCTAGCCACACCTGGCTTCTTCCTGGTCTTTCAAGAGTATTTATGAAGTCATTTCTCCTTGCAGGATACTCAGAGCCACTGACCCTTACACAGAGGACTTCCAATAGCTTCACCAGCAGCCAGGCCTGTCACCACCAGTGGTTACCACGCTGATCAGCTCACACTTTTCTGGGCTCTACTCACTCAGACACCTTGACCCTTGTCATCCTTTCAGTCCAAACAGTGAGTCTTCCTCCTACAGTTGCCTTGGTCTACTGTTTTTTGGTTCTAATTATTATGTATAGTGTTCTGTCTGCATGTGTGTCTACACATCAGAAGAGGGCACCAGATCCCATTACAGATGGTTGTGAGTCACCATGTGGTTGCTGGGAATTGAACTCGGGACCTCTGGAAGAGCAGCCAGTGCTCTTAACCTCTGAGCCATCTCTCCAGCCAGGTCTATCCTTTCTAAATGGTGGTTAGGTTGAGGGGAGATGGCACAGATCTCATCACCAGCTAGATAGCAAGATGAAGTCAGCAGTGAAGTCCCAGCACAAGTGAAGTTCTGACACACTCCCTCTGGCACCTTCCACACAGCTCTAAGCTACCTACCCCTGAGAAAACCGGGCAAGTACAAGTACTGACCAACCACAACTTCCCGCAGACTGAAGACCTCAGCACTTGCTCTGCGGCTCTAGCTTCATCAGATCTCAGAATGGATCCCAGCCGCTCCCACTCCACCAGCAGCTCCTGCAGCTGCAAAGACTGCAAGTGCGCCTCCTGCGAGAGCTTCCACTGCTGTCCTGTAGGCTGTGTTTTCTTTTTCTTTTTTTTTTCCAAGACAGAGTTTCTCTGTAGCTTTGGAGCCTGTCGTGGAACTAGCTCTTGTAGACCAGGCTAGCCTTGAAATCACAGAGATCCACCCTTCTCTGCCTCTCGAGTGCTGGGATTAAAGGCGTGCGCCACCACCACCCTGCATAGGCTGTGTTTTCAAAGGCGCACCTGACAATGGCACCTGCCAGGAGGACAGTGCTGTTCCTGTGTGTAAACAGAGCAGTGTGGACAAACCCAGATGTTCTTCATACAGCTCTGCCCTGTTTACTAAATCCTTTTTTCTATCAAGTAGGTGAATAATAAAAGCCAATTTGAATCTAAAAAACCAAAACAAACCAACAACCAAAAACAAATGTGCTGACCTCAGACAAATACAAAATAGTGTTCTGTCCTTCCCACCTGAGAGTAAGGGCTGTTGTTCCCATCCCAGGACATTCTCTACTGGGTACTGATGGAGTTATTCGGAGTGCCTCAACCCAAGCTACATGGGGGGTGGCAGGAGAAAGGCGATGCTGAAGGCACCGAGCCCCAGGCTTGGGCTAGTGCTGCCTAGAGAACAGGGTGAGGGGTCTGGGCTAAGGTCCCAGTCCTAGGACCACTGTTGGTGTAAGGTCTCATATCCGGGTTAAATGAGCTGCCGAGGCTTTAAATCTGCAGGCTGAATGGGAGTCATTAGGACGACCTCATGAGGAATGCTGACACAGACATAAATGCCCAGTCCAGAGTGCAGGGTACCATCCAGGAAGGGCAGCCCACACAGTGTGCATTACACACCTACTTACAATGACTGCTGCTGCCCATGAGGGGGTGCAGAAAGTTGTGGGGCACACATCCAGTTGGCAAGTGGCCCCTGGCACCCCTCCCCAGTGAGAAGATTGTCCCTCAACAGGCTGGAAGGGCCTGGCTAGTGAGGAGGTGGAACACACAGAATGACAGCAGACAGACTGGCCATGATAACTTAGTTTATGGGTCAAGCCGATGCAATGCAAAGTTGGTTATCCTTTTTATCATTTCTTTTTTTTAACCAAAATAAATAAATCAGATCTGTCCCTTTGAAGGTCAAAAGAGGAAGGAAGGACAGCTGGCTCCGGGGTCACCTTGCCCTTAGTCACTGATCTCCTGTTCTGACCTGCCTTGGCACAGCGAAGAGAAGGATCTATCAACTGCTTCCTTGTGTTCAAGGGAACAGAAAGAGAATTAACTGGCTGGGGGATTAGGGAGGAGGGGGGAGAAGATTCAGCAGGACCAAGAGGCAGCCAGTGCCTGGGGTTTGGGACCCAAGGGAGCTTCTGGACTCTGCTCAGAGCCAATCACTCCAGGCAAATTCCCCACAGCCCAATCCCAAGAAGGGTAGCAGAACTGGACCTAGCTTTGTCGCTAAGGCCTTTTTAACTGCTCTGCACCATTCTCCACTCACCCAACAGCTGAATGACACCCCCAAAACCTGCCAGCTCTAGCTCTTCCAGTACTTCTTAGTTCGGCCCTAGCAAGACAAAGCTAGCCCCAGTCTTGATCTGTGGCTTGCTAGGTGACAAGGACTGACACACAGGATCTCTGGTCCAGTCCTGGAGGATTATACAGTGAGCATGGGTAGGGCATCTTGAGGGGACCTTTCTCCATCCTGCTCCTCACTACCTCCATGGAAGGCGTGCAGCCCAAGGAGGCAGCCCAGGTTGGGCAGTGTCTGGCCTGGGGAGCAGTTGAGCACTGAAGCAGACAACAGCTTAATTCCTAGAAGGACAGGAACGGGGGTGGGAGGGGCGTGTGGCATGGCAAAGGGCAGAGGTGTGGGCAGTGCTCAGGCACTATTCTTTAGTTGAGAAGCAAAGAGCATCATGGACTTGGGGGACCATGGCCTGATCAACTCCAGGGCACCTAAGAGAATTTCTTGAAGGCGTCCAGGTCAAAGGCTGTGTCCAGGAAGCGCTGCAGCTCTGTCAGGTGAGTCTTCTTGTTGCCGGTGGCTGGAGCAGCTGCTGGGTCTCGGCCAGCATACCTGAGAGACAGAGAGGGGGTACTGAGGGTAATAGTCAGAGGTGGGCCTGCCCGCTCTTCTCCAGCTGTTTCCAGGCTAACTGCCCATCGGCAGGTCTCCCCATTAGAGACTTGGTCTTACCAGACAGGCTTGGCACGGTCAATGGTGGTCCGAAGTCTTGGCTTGACATAGTCATAGTAGCCTTGGTTCTTGTGCTCCTCCTGGCACCAGGCCAGCTCAGCATTGGGATACTTCTGAGCCTCCTTCAGTAGGAGGTCAAAGGGGAATGGTGATAGCTGAAAGAGAGCAGAGCTGGGATCAAGAAATGAACATTCAGAGGGTGGGGAGGGCTACACATAGGGAGGCTGGAATTCCAGCAGGGAAAGTCTTGCAGCTATTGCAGGTGGGAAAGGTTAGAAACCTCAGTAAACAATGCCCTGCCAAAGCACCATAGCCCAAATATCCTATAGGCGGGACATTGGCAGCTAGCTGCTATACCACATGCTCTCACCTGCTCAATCCTTGTAATTGCCACCTGCTCTGCCAAGCCCCTGGCTTTGCGCTCTCGGGTGAGGTCATAGTACACCTTGCCAGTGCAGAAGAGTAGTCTTTTGACATTGTTTGGGTCCTGAGCTGCAGGGCCATCTTCTGGGATCACACGCTGGAAGTGGGTTCCTACAAGAAAATTTCTACAGCTGGGCTGGTTCCTTCTCCAGGCCTATTCCACGGCGACTGTGCATGAGCTGCCCCACAGTCGCTGGGATCTATGGTTTCTGAGGGTTAGAGATATTTCTACCTCATGAGCTGCTGATGCCTGTGAATTTGCTCAGACTAAGAGTGTTGTAGAACCAGGCATGGGGATGTGCATCTTTAACCCTAGCACTCAGGAGACAGAAGCAAGTGGATCTGAGTTTAAGGTCAGTTCATTCTACATAGTAAGTTCCATGACAGTCAGCGCTACATAATAGAGACTGTCTCAAAACACTCAACCATCTGATGACTACTTACACATACACCTTACAAATGTACAAATAAAAAATTTAAACACTCAGGACACGTCTAAACAACTGCTGCTACAACTGGTGTGTACCAAACAGAGGAGACTTGACTGTTTTCATGACTGAACATTCAATGGGAAATGACAGAGTGTATAGATGAAAAACCATGGCAAAAATCATATTCAAGCCAGGCGGTGGTGCCACATGCCTTTAATCCCAGCACTCGGGAGGCATAAATCATATTCAATGATGAAAGACTGGAAACTGTGCCTCTAAGGTCAAGAACAAAGGTAGCAGGCCCACCCTCGGCACTTCTATTCAACATGCTACTGGAAGTCCTAAACACAACAACTGGGCAAGAAAGAAGAAATAATGGCATCAAATGGAAGGTGGAAAATGAGGGTGTTTCAGTGGATAAAACACTTGTCACGCAAACCTGATGTGAGCTCAGCCCCCGGAACCCCATAACGTGGAAGAACCAACTTCTGAAAGTTGTCCTCTCACTTCTATACATACTATACAAACTCCCCATCACACACACACACACACACATACACACACAAATATATTAAGTAAAATAAATGATGATGATTTTTGTAGAAGAAAGGCTTGTTCTCTAAAATTCATATAGCAACCCAAGGGTCAATGAATAACCAAATAAAATTTTAAGACAAAGCTCATAAGAAAACTTTAAAAATGAACTATAAAAGTTACAGTAAATTGCACGGCACTGGCAAGGGTAGTGGTGGTGCACATCTTTAATTGCAGCACTCAGGAAACAAGAGGCAGGAGGATCTCTGTGAGTTCGAGGCCGGCCTGGTCTACAAGAACTAGTTCTAGGACAGCAAGAGTTGTTACACAGAGAAACCCTGCCTTGAAAAACCAAAACGAACAAACAAACAATTTTTTTTTTAACCTGATATAAGCTGTGATGGCTGTACAAAGTAATAATGTTCCTCCGTAACACTGAACACTTACAAATGGTTAAGACAGTAGATTTCACATTATGTAAATGCTACCACACACAAAATGTAGAAATAACAAACAAGAGGTTTGCTGGATAGAAGACTGTAGGGGCTTGGTGATTGAGAGGAAGCAGTTTCCATCTGGGTAGCGACGACCTGTATTAGCACTGCTTGTCACTTTCCAGGTAAGCATCTCAAGCCACCGACTCCTACCTCAGCAGGGCAGCGCACGTTCCTTCCCCTACGCCCCTGAGCGGTGTGAGCTGTCAACCCTAGAGACACAGTAGGATCTCTTTTGTTTGTGTTGTTTTGTGTTTTAGACAGGGTCTGACCATGTAATTCTGACTGGTTTGGAAACTGCTCTGTGGAGCAGGCTGACCCACAACTCAAGAGATGCTCCTGTCTTTGGCTCCAGAGTGCTGGGATTAAGAGAATGTGCCACCATGTTCTGCCATTTTAATGCAG